GATTGGTTGTCAATATTAAAAATGGAAGGTATATTAATTTAAAAACCGAAATTGCCAAATTCAAATTTTTAAATGTAGATCAAGGAAAACTTCGAAAAGATAACTTCAATCAATTTATATAACGTAATTACAGTGAAGCAAAATTGAATAAATATACGTAAACTTAATTAAAGTAAACTAAAATACGCAAACAAACCTGAATCGTGCCTGAAAGTCCACCCCAAATTGAAAATCAAAATTTTGAACAAGCTCGAAAATTCTCTGCATTCGTCTCTGAATATTAGCAGATCCGTTTTATAAACTTTACACACAATGTGATATACCTAACTCCCTTTTCGGTGTAGATTATTTAAACAATTTTCCAGTATATAAAGAGCTGTAAAACAGCAGACAAGTAACGGTCCACAATCTATCGCTTTATTCTTTTTCGAAGCAACAAGCGCCATTCAGTAATTCACTCGCATGGCATGATTGGCACAAGCGTCACGCAAGCACATCACGGATGGCACGCGCAAAACATTAGGCGTTTCCAGTCCATGTCTTCCGGATTGTCTATGCTAAAACACAGCTCGGGTTCAAATTGCCCATGTAATCGTGATGCTATTTCAGCTCGGTTAACCGGGCTGAAATTCATCCCGGGCTGAAAACTCTCCATGCAATCGTCCATGCAATCGGCCCCCTAAATCAGTCGAAGTAAAACCACGGACGTACCGGCGAGCGATATCTGGTTGGGGGGAGGGGGTAAACTCAAAAGTTTTCCTTCCCCTTCCCTTTTTTTCGATTAATTCTCCTTCTAAAAAAAATCTTTCCGGAAAATGTCGGTAGGGGGGGCTGGGGGAAGAAGGGTGAGAAAAAACGTTCCAATCCGTTCCTATCATAATAGGAGGGTTAAAAATACGTTTTCCAGAGTTTTCTGAAGATCAATTTTTTATAGTATTCCTTAGTATTGAACACGCTTTCCGCAATTTGGCCCCTCCCCCTGAAGAAATTGGGCCCCTTCCTTTCGGCATAAAAGCGTAAAACATGGTACCTAAAAAGCGCAGTCCTTCAGTGAACCGGCGTTGAGACCCAAAAAAGAGTGAACTGGCCCTCGGAATAACGTGTAACCATACACAAGTGCATGTCACTACTCACTAGACACGTGCAGGGGCATAAGAATACTGGTGCGCCCCCAGAAAACGGCAAAGCAATATACTGGCTCGAGCCCTAGATTAAGCGGTTGCCAATGGCGAAGGACTCAGGTGGCTCCGTAAAGGAAAGGGTATAGCCGACAATGTTTTGGGGAGCCATTCGTCTCTATACGTTGCTAACTTGGTGTTCCAGCAACCGAAAAAAGAAAAACCCAAAAATCAAAAACCCAAAAATCAAATACGCAAAAATCAAAACCCCGAAAATCAAAAACCCGAAAATGAAAAACCCAAAAAATCAAAAACCCAAAAATCGAAAACCCAAAAATCAAAAACCCAAAAATCAAAAACCAAAAACCCAAAAATGAAAAACCCAAAAATCAAAAACCCGAAGAACAAAAACCCAAAAATCAAAAACCTAAAAATCAAATACCCAAAAATCAAAAACCCAAAAATCGAAAACCCCAAAATCAAAAACCCAAAAATCAAAAACCCAAAAATCGAAAACCCAAAAATCGAAAAAGCGATAGCCCAGACGCGACACGCGGGTTGGAATAAAACGCGGATGCGGACGGACTGACGGACACGCGGACGTACGGACGGACGAAAGGGTTAAAATGCGAATGCGGACAAAAAAGATAAAATGCGGACTGTTTCATTGCCCTAACATAATTCGTTATTTCGGAGACACAATTCATAGACTTAGTACATGGTAAATTCCAGCTAGAGTTTCAGCCGCTTGCCCAAAATGCATTGTAATTTCATTTTAGTTAGTATATGCAAGGTCATAGAGAATTGTGCTGGGTTTTTTCTCCCCGTAGTAAAATACCATTAACGGTGGTGTTGATTTTTGGATGAAAACAGCATGAATGCAACATAGTATACGAAATGCACAGAGCTAGTGCTATTTCTGGATGAAAACAGCATGAATGCAACATAATATACGAAATGCACAGAGCTAGTGTTGATGCAAGAAATCGGATTTTGTGCAAGGCTGCTAAGGCTGATATTCTATTTTTTTATATATTCTGGAGGAAACACAGTGAAGGTTAGTTTTTATAGTGAATACTATTTATCATGAATAAATGATTAAATCTGTTGATTTGAAGCTCGATTTTGATATACGATGTCGGTGAAATTAAACGAGGACGCAAAATCAATGGACAATGGCGGATTTTCAAGAAAATCATTAGTTCCAAACTAGGCCGTTTCAATTTTAATAAGTTTTTGTTCCAACTGTGTCTTTAAAGGTTTATAACTATATATTTTGAAAGCTTCAAATTCGTGTGTTTACATGCGCAGCAAGGCGAGATTTTGAAAATGTAATAGATATTTTCGAATTTCCATGGCATAACAACAGTTTGTTGCGAACATATTCTCGGCGAATTTTCTACTAAGGGAGCATTCATTTTTTAGCTGGGGGGATGGGCCGGAGGAATTTGGGGGTGGGTCAGCCAATTTTGACATGCTTCAAAGGGGTGGGTCTTTTATAGTTTTGGTATAAATGGAGGGGGTCATAAAAATAATCAGAGAAAAAATCACCAATATAATTTTATAGAATTTGGAAATATTTGGATCAAGAATGGTAAAAAGGTCCAGAATCTATCAACTATCTTGTCATCTAAAACAATAAAGCAAAATTCATTTGACGCTCTGTTCACACAGTCCATAGGAAAACATTTCCATGACGTTCGTCAATTGACCTTTTATCCGTTTTTGTGTGAAAACATGAATGAAAGAAAACGCAGGACCGTAGCAGGATTTCAAAATCATGCATGATTTCAAGGAGTGCATGACTTCAAAATCATGCAGCCTTTATCAATTTTAAGCTTTATTAATTTTAAGCGGCTACGTTATCCATGACAAACTGCAAAGAATGAAGATAGTACCCACAGTTTCCTGCAACTTATCCTAGTTATCCAATATATAGTAAATTAAATACGCCTGTATATAGTAAATTAAATACTACCAAATTGTCAATTTCGACATACTAAAACGCTGTTTTCTGACCATCAGAATTCTGTCAAATCTTCCCCCAAAGGCCAGGAAATGGCATTTCAGAGACTCTAGAATTAAAAATTCCTCGGGCCTTCGGCCCTCGCTTTCAGCCCCTCAATCAAAAAGAGCTTCCTACGGCCCTGAAACGCTATGGAAACGACACCGTGTGGATTAATAGTTAGGATGAGGGGTCAAAAAATGTTCAGTAAAAATAGGGGATCATAATTTTTTATTAACTATTGTCTTGGGGGTTCCAAGTTTTCGCATGGAATTAGACATCAGTTCCTCCGCCCCCCCCCCCTCCCAGCTAAAAAATGAATGCTCCCTTACCTGAATATAAAACCAACTAAAATATAGGCATTTTCACAAGCTTTCAAACCATCCGCGTTGGGGGTGTATGTCGTTAAATTTCGAATTAATATAAGCGGTTGAACCTCGTGCGTAAAACTAGACATATATTCCGACTAGTTAGAATATGTATTCCGACGGCAATTTTTACACCCTCGTTTAGGCAACGAATTCTCGCTCAATATTCTAGCTACAATACTATAGCTCGTACCAAAATGTAGCTGAATTCACCAGCTATCTGACAATATAGCTGTAATATTCGCACAGATATAGTCGATTAAAAGTCGTATGTTTATGTTGCATTAAACTTTTTAATTATAATTCTGGTTTCAATTTTTGTTTACATTGTGTGATTTTGACCCCGTCGTTTAGACAACGTTTTCTCGCTCAATATTGTAGCTACAGGAATATAGCTCCCACTAAAATGTAGGCATTTTCACAAGCATTCAAACCATCTGCGGTAGAGGTGAATATCGTTAAATTTCGAATTAATATAAGCGGTTGAAACTCGTGCCTAAACCGGACATTATATTGTCCGACGGTAATTTTGACACCCTCAGTACTCGTTTAGACAACGAATCACACAATGCAACATAAACATTTATTCAACTATATCTGTGCGCATATTACAGGTATAATAATTTTACGCTTACGCATATTGCCAGATAGCTGGTGCAATCAGCTACATTTTGGTACGAGCTAGAATATTGTAGCTAGAATATTGAGCGAGAATTCGTTGCCTAGACGAGGGTGTAAAAATTGCCGTCGGAATACACATTCTAGTCTTAAAATTCTGATTTCCATATTTAGCGAAAATAGCCATGGCAACTGGTCATAATTTTCGCTGATTTAATTTAAATATCATTAGGAGATAGCATACTGCGGGTAACTTTGCTCCTGCTGATTATAAAGTGGCTTGCTAACTAACTAAATGGTCTTTTGGATAATCTAGTGCAGCTTGCTGTACACCCTGCCTTGTTTACATCTTATTTAACACAGGGGAAAATGGTTGGAAGTATTGAAAATGATTCATGCTTGCAAGATTTCATCTACGTTTATTATCCACAAAACCTTTAGAGTATGGCATGGATAGATTCCAGGTAAGATGCAAACAAGGCATGCAGGGCACATGTTGAGGTATAAAATATTTGTTCACATCAATCAATCCATGGACATATCTGTTTCTTAAAATTGCAGCACTCAGATGGAGTGGACAAAAGAACATGACATCTTTCTGCTGAGGGAAATGCTAGCTTCTGATATATTTCACTACAGAAAAGGAAGCCCTGACAGGGGGAGAATTTGGGACGAAATAGCAGACAGGCTTAATGCAACAAAAGATATGGTCTTTCATATAAAGGAAAAGAGATCTGTTCGAGATAGATGGATTTTACTTAAGAACAAGTTAAAAAAAAATAGACGTGAAGAAGAAGCTGCAAGCGGTATTGAGGTGGACGAGCAGGATGAAAAAGATATATTGATAGAGGAGCTCACCGATCAAGAGGAAACTACGAAAGAAAGCATAGGAAGCAAAGAAAAGGCAGATAAAGTTGCTGCAGA